AAAGCTTGGAAATTCTGTCATATACCCCACAATATAGGTATTTTTGGAATTGGAGTGACGTGTAAGAATCGGAAATTTATGTCTGACGCCATTTCAAAATCCAAGATGGTGGCTTCCGGTTACAGAAAAATTGGCAAATACCACCACGTCACCCAGATTCTTAAGATACCCATATTGTAGGTTATTTAACATTATTTTTATGTCTATATGTAAGTGGAAGTTGCCATATTGAATTTCACAATGGCGTCAGACATTGGTTTTCATTCCTAATAAGTCACCCCGATTCCAAAAAAACCCATATTGTGGGGTATTTGACAGTTTTTCCCAGCGTTTCTGTAACCGGATGTCAACATCTTGGATTTCTAAATGGCGTCAGACATAGATTCTCGGTTCTCACAGGTCACTCCGATTCCAAAAATATCCATATTGTTGTGTATTTAACGGTACTTTTTTTTCGGTAACCGGATTGGATTTCAAAATGGCGTTAGACATCGATTTCCGGTCCCTACACGTCACCCTGATTCCAAAAATACCCATATTGTGGGGTATTTGACAATATTTTCAAAAACCTCTTTTTACGAAGTAAATCCCAAATAACGAGTTTTCTTTTTACGAAGTAAATCCCAAATAACGAGATGTTTTTTTACGCACTAATTCGATTTACGAACCCCCGTTTTGGTTCGTAAATGGAGGTTTCAGTGTAGTTAGTTTATCTTTAAAGAATCAATATAAAAAATACCTGGGCTGATACAATTCCTTATTACGGATTATAAGAGCATTTCTAAGTTTAAATAGCATCCAATCCAATCCCATTATACCCAGGATCAGAGTTGAAAAAATCATGAAAAAATCACCAGCATTCACTATGAAATTAATTTTTCATCCATAGTGAACTTTGATGAATTTTAGTGATTTTTCAGCCCTGCCCAGGATCAAAGGTCTCCCCAAAGTCCACAAACCGGAGAATGAAATGCGAGAGATCGTGTCTGCAGTTGGTTCCCCTACCCACAAACTAGCGAAGTGACTAGTCACAGAGTACCAGAGTATGCCGAATCAGTTTCAGAGTAACGCAGTTAGTAGCACCCAGCAACTACAATCTTCAGAAGACATCAACGAGGACGAGATTATGGTATCTTCCGACGTCACAGCTCTTTTCCCAGCGTACCGGTCAAGGAAGCGATCAACCATTTGGAGGACTGGCTATTAACACGACGAGAGGATGCAGCATGGAGAAACAAGGTTCGGACGTGCCTTAAGCGGGTCACGCCTTTGTATGGAAGAGAACTACTTCTCTTTCCGAGGTAACTTCTAAAAACAGACGAAACGAGCCCCAATGGGTAATCCCCTATCCCCCTTCCTGTGTGAACTTTTCATGGCTATTTAGTCTAGTGACCGTACATCAGTATTTTGATTTGGTGTTACTTTGATAGGGTTTTTGATCTAATTTCCGTCCTACTAAGCACAACGCGCACTTTACCTCTCTTTCCTGAACGTGTTTAAACTAAAAATGGAATTTTTCTATCAAAGATGACTTCTAAATTAATTCATCTTATTAGACGTACCGTTGAATTTGATAAAAAGCCACAAATTGTTGAGATATTGTTTAAAATCTAATACTGCTTCTTGATTCTAAATTCGTTCTACGAGTTTAAATTCCGTCCTAACGCATTGAAACGCCATTAGATTTTCTTCGTCCTACGGATAAACGTAAAAAAAGGGGATTCGCAGGGAGCGCTTCTTTTGTTTTGAGGACAATGAGCGTAAATATTCATACAATGCGCTCTAACCGGGTTTATGTTGTAGCTAATGAACTAACGCATCGGAACAAACATATTATTGATTTGTGCACGGTGAAATCAATGATATTATTGATCTTTTCTGATCGATAGAACGGAAATGGGCGATTACGACGAAGCAGCGCTCTACCCTACTGCTCGATGAATGTAGAAAAACATGCGTGAAACTCAAACAATTATGTTCAAGAAATATGAAACGTTGAATGAATATACAATTTGAAAACGTCTTAAGCAGTGGCGTTTCCTTAACCACAATCTACCTGTGCACCAACTCTCAAAACATATTTTTTTTTCAAAATATTACTTGCAATGGATAGATATCGAGTTAACAAGAAGATTAAGTGTATTTTTCAACAGATTCAAGCTAGAATGTGGCACTAAAACTTGGTTTGAAAGTTGGTGAACAGTTAAAAAGTGAGGTTACGGGACGCCACTGGTCTTAAGCAATAAAAAGACAACTTTGAGTTTGTAATGACTATATCGGAAAAACATTCCATAAGTGAATGTCAATCTATCCAGCAGGCCACTTTTCACAAAATTTGTTTTTTGTAGCAACAACAGCGTACCATAGCGTACCTTCAAGGATTTTGAATGTACCTCGCAAATTCCTTGTTTTAGAGAGTTCTGCTGAATTGACCGGTGATTTTTCGAAAATCTTCAAAAAACTTTCACCAATGCAGTGTACCAATAGCGTACTTTCCGAATCTGAGGTTCCTTTTTAACGTACCTCAAAATTTACCACACTTACTTGTATAAAACTCTTTAAAATACATTATATGTAAAATTTGACTTCGGATTTGGATTTCTTGGGAAATTTTAACTCGATTTGACCCAAAAAAAAAACATATTACTTAAGTGTTTTCTTTGCTACTTAATGACCAAAATAGTGATTTTAAAACAAGTATATCGAAATACCCTGGAATACCTACATTATGTTTACCCCTGAAAGTAGATAACCAACAAACATGGGAGATGGCAATTTTAAATATCTTAAAACAAACATTATCAATCTGTATGGGAACAGGTTGAACGTACCTCAAGGCAACTCATGTTTATATGGATGGGATGGATGGTTTTCCCGAGGGGGACGACTCTATCTACGATGCAGGAAATATTGTTTTTTGCTGTGGTTAGCTGCGCGTACGCTGAGTAGATAGTAAGAAGATTTATCACGATTTTGAAGATTTCCTGCAAAAAGATGATGCGCGATGCAAGAAGATGCGAGAAATGAAAGAAGATTTTTCGAAGATTTATTCGCTAGTGTGAGATTTTTTGAGCATCTAGAATTGAGATTTAGATGTGTCGCCCCCCTCGGGTTTTCCAAGGAAAATTTAATTTTAATGATTATTTTAGAAAATACGTAGTTTTGTGAAAATTTCGTGGACTGCTGAGTATTCAATCTTCTCAAAATATTCTCACAAGTTCTAGAAACGATGTGGTACCCATGCATTGGTACACTACATTGGTGAAGGTTTTGGAAGTTATTCTTCTTCTTCTTCTTCTTCGCATTTAAAGCTTATTGCATATCGCATATTATCTTATTGCGTGCTCTCAACTTAGTGTTCTTGATGCACTTCCACAGTTATTAATTGAGAGCTTTCGATGCCTGTACCATTTTTGCATTGGTATAATTGTGTGGCAAGTCCAATCATACTCTATATGCCCAGGGAAGTCGAGAAATTTTAGGTTAGGTTTTGGAAGATGTAATGAAGATTTTCGAAAAATCACCAGTCTATTCAGCAGGACACTCTAAAACAAGGAATTTGCTAGGTACGTTCAAAATCCTTGGAGGTACGCTATGGTACGCTTATTGGTACATTACGAAAAACATAATTTTATCAACTTTTGTGAAAAGGGGCCTGCTGGATAGATTGACATAATAAGTGACACACTTAATTTTATTTGCTGAATCTCGGAAATTTTTGGTTCGATTTTGCCGTGATCTCAGCAACAGTGACGTTTGGGTTGCTGAGTATCGGAATATGTTTTGCTGAATAATTTATGAAAAACTTATTTCTGAGCCCTCGGCTGTGCAATGCTCGGTAAAAATAGCTGAGATTCGGCAAATAAAACAAAGTGTGGATGGTTTGAGTGCTTCTTCAAACAGGCGAAAAACAAGAAAATTGTTTTTTAATGTGTTTGGAAAACATATAACAAATACTATATGCTGCGGTGTGAATTAGTGAAAGTGAATGTGTTACAATAGTAGTAGAATAAAAAGAAAAATCAACGTTATGAAGTATACAATTATTCTACTAAAACGCTCATCAATCAATTTAGAGTTGGAAGATCAACACATTCCTACCCCATTCCTTTCTTGACCTGCGTTCGGGCGCGGCCGGCGCTGGTATTACCTAGTTTGTGATCAACAGGTTTTACACATTGAGGATCATTGCTAGTCCCAAGCTGACCTGGCAATAACAGAGTAGCAACCGTGGGTGGTCAATCGTGCTCATGTTAATGCTCATGCATCAATCAATTTAGAGTTGGACGCTATGCTCAAGTTGCTCAGTCAGCTCTAGAGATTTTGGCCACGTTACCGGTCTAACTGGCCTAATGTTCTTCTGTACCTAATCTGGATCTGTTTAAATTTTTTTAAAGCTTTAGTGTTCGATACAAACGCAAAACAAACCAACGATTAACGCGGGTCTATCCAAATTGGGAACTTTACCACCATCGCCCTACCGTTGATTCGTACATCACCACATGAATTCCTAATGAGCAATTAAATTCAAACTGACAAGCTCAAATTGTAAATTAAACATCAAATATCCCTCCACATTGCATCATCACTCGCTCCCAGCAAATCCCCAAACAAATTGTCATCTCTTTCCACAGAAAGACCCAACCTCCTAATCCCTTGAATTAATTCCTCGGCATGCGTCTCGATGCCCCCCACTGCTATCAACCAAACCCAACCGACGCATCGTCGCACATTCTGGCTGCAGTGCACTACACATTCAGAAAAGCCTCCAAACGACTGTCACCATACAACATCTCCCCGTACCTTTGGATCGAAGAATCCTCCTCAGTTGCAAAATATGGTCACTGCCATATTCAGGCATCCCACACACACACACACACACACACACACACACACGCACACTTTTTCCACCATTTAGCGAAACATAAATTATTCGCGTCAATACAACCCTAGCACCATCGTTTTGGGTCACTTCAGCACAACAAGCAAATATTACTCACCTTTCCTCGATCGTCGTGGGCAGCGGCGTTCGATTCCTCAAGGAGCTGATGTACTGCTGGCGTGTCATCATGCTGCTTCCATTGCAGCCGCCGCCACCTCCCTCCGAGAGATACCCGTTCTCCATCGAGTCCGAATAGCGTGCGGGAACTTTCCGCAGTGCGTCTCCATCGCTGCAATAGCCCTGCCCGCCCAGGTCCTCGCAGTACTCCGATATGTAGTGATGTCCGCGGGCACCTCGCGTCGGCAGAGTGACGTGACTGTTGTACCCACGGAGCAGAGGTCGCATCGGAACGACGGTAATTTGCTTCTCCTCCTGCTCGTAGATGGTCCCATTCGGGTGTTGGGCAGTGTTCAGTATTTTCGACGGGACGGTGTTGAATTTATTGTTGTTGTTGTTGTTCAAATTGACATCGTTGAATAGGAACGAGGACGATGATTTGTGCGGGGAGCTGAGATTGGAGATGTGCTCGGAGCCACTTTCCGATCCACTCGGGCGATAGACGATACTGCTGGACTCGCTGGAGTTGGAGTGCTGACCGATGGACGCGCCCTGGGTCGAGTTGGAGTGCATACTATCACTCATACAGCTTGGCATTTGCTGCTGCTGATGCTGCGCCGATAGCTTCAGAGGACTTCCAAGGACGTTGTTGTTACCACTGACACTGATTGTATTCATCACATTCATTCGATCACTGTTGTTGTTTGATATGTTGTTTGGAAGATGCTGCGGTGAGATCAGGCCATTCTGGTGTCCTCCGAATCCGGCCAGCGCTCGGTCCAGCTTTGCAAGTTCGTCCTTTGGTATGTGATCCTGAAGAACTAGTTGCGGTGACGGTTTGCTCGTTCCCTTCACAGCGGCCATCGGTTTCGGAATCCCAGTATTGACTGACGGTGGAGCCACCATCGTTTTCGGAGGTTGCAACTGTGACTGTTGTTGTTGCTGCATTTGCTGCTGGTGCAGCAGCAAACTAGTTTTACTTTCGGATTTTGCATCAAGTTTTCTGCTGCCCGTACCTCCCACAGAGGCAGGTTTCAGTTTCGATTCGGTCTTCGGATTGCCTCCGCTGACGTTGGTCGCAGTCGTCATGGCCGCTGCCATCGGAATTTTGTGCGCCTTCGGTGCCGTGATCGGAATGTGCGTATCGGGTTGATCCTTACCCGCCTTTCCCTTGTCCCCGCTCAATTTCCCCGTGGATGAAACCTTCAATCCAGAGGCATCCTTCGAACTGGACTTGGATGAGATGAGTTTGGATGATTTGACTTTGGCACTACTGGCAGTGTCGGATTTTTTGCCCAAACTAGCTTCCTTGCCAATCTTCCCCACGGGTCCATCATTCAAACTCAGACTGGAATCGCTCCTTTCGCTTCGAGCCGAGGAAAATCCGCTGCTCGAGCTGGTTCGTTTGGAAATGGTCGATTTGGAAGTTTTGTCCTGCTTCTCTTTGCTGTTGAACAGTTTTAGCTTTTCCAGCATCGATTGCTTCTGCGTTGGGTTTGGGATATTGGTAACGTTTCCATTCGGGATAAGGGTGACGTTGTTGTTGTGGTTGCTGCCGCTGTTGCTGTTGTTGTTGTTATTGTTGTGGTTGATGGCATTGGTGGTTTGGGCCGCATAGGGACTGGCCGGAATCTTGCATGTCGTCTGTGGCTGACGGAGACTGGAACGAAAATAAACACACCAATATTTAGTACGATGTGAGGGGGATCAGTTTTAGTGGGAGATTGGGGGAAAAGCCATAAAGCATGTTAATAGAAATATTTTGCCAGTCACAGGTTGATTTATTGGTCTGGCTTTTTGTGTGTTTTTCGAGTAAATTGCTCATGCTGATCTGTAGATTGGTGCTACTGAACGACTGCTGGACAGGGAAATGGAGTTGCGGGAAGTCCGAGTGAAATCAGATGTAATGGATATTTGAAATAAGGTTATGAGCTGCAAGTCAATAATGTTTTGTTTTATGATTATTACAGAAATTTCATTTAGGCTGACCTCATTGTATCAAACAGTACCCACAAGTTATAATGCAGGAATTTCGGAAACCAGCCTTCTCAGAATTGCTATGGTAATTCTCATACTAAATTACAAGAAAGTTCATCAAAGTACCACTTCTCGAAAAAAAAAATCAACTCCTAGAAAAGACGTGAATGTAGTCCAAGGAAGGCCCATTGACTTCTTTGACGCGCGTACCACTTCCACTTGTCCTTTGAATTAACCTTAATGATCAGCACTAATACTTAAACATTTAGAGAAGTCTATTTGTTTTGACGTAGAACTACGTCATTGTCGACTATATTGGGGGTGTAAATCAAAAAATATGTGTGGTGAAATAGTGTTAGGTTTTGAGCGCTTGTAACTTTGTCATTTATAGATGAAATTAAAATCCAAATACGCCAATCGATAGGATATTACATCACGAATCTGCTGAAATATTAAGATCAATCAACAAAAACTGTGTGACGAAAAAGTCTTCATTTCCTTTATTTAACGTCAGTCTCTGTTCCGCAATGTATTGCTAATCACCGACGGACGTCGATTGCCATCCATTGACGGCAATCGAATGTGCAGGACGGCAGCTTCCACACCTGCGTACTATATCGCACCCATTCAACATACATGACACATGGGGCGGGACCAACGGCTTTACTTCCCTTCCGAAGGAAGACATGACCAGAGATTTTTATGCCTCAGAAAAATTCCACCGACCTCGGCTGGGATTGAACCCAGACCCATTGGGGTAAGAAAGCAGGCACGCTTATATGACGAAACAGTATCAGTTCCTATTGTAGACTACGAGGCTGGCGAAGTGGGGCCATGGATCCAGTAGAGTGGAGATGACTTTTTCGGACAGCAGAAGACAACAAGGTCTTAGCCTGATTGGTAATATAAGTATCAAAGTAGGCCGTGCTGGGAAATTGACTCGTTTTTTATTTTGCTGCTGATTTTCATTTTATAATTTTAACCGGTTGTTCAAAATTTCTTATGTACCTGATGGAAATTAATCGGATGATAAGTGGAAAAAAATAAAAGGAACGGAGCTGTGTTAGCTGATGGGCAACGAAGAACTCAAAGTGCGATGGTGTGAATCCAGCAGGCCTACGTCTAGGGGTAGCGGATTTCCTTAGTCAAGATCAAAGAGACGTTTTGGAGCATTAACTGCATTAGAGAGCTTCAAGGATTATTCGGTTGAGATCCTTCCTTTTTATTCATTTAGTTCGTTGTATTACGATTCATTTTTCACCACACTATAAAAACAAATTGAGGAACTTGGTAAGTTTAGGCCGTTTGCAATGCTGTTGTATTTTATAAGGACTGTTTCAATTTGAAACTAGAACAGAAACGCACCTCTCGCAATGCTGAGTTGCAGTTTCATTATTCGAGCACTATTTTGCACCAGATTTGCAACTGCTCGACTATTCTGTTTTATTTCTGAGCGAGTTTAAAACACGAATGCTCTGTTTCAAATTTCTTTGGATGTATTTAAAGATGTTTCGAAGAGCTTCACAAAAAAACGCACACCCCTCACCATCCCTCTCCAAAGGGGGATTTTGGTAAAGAGAGATGAAAAAACCGATTTGTACCATCCTTAAAAGTTGTCCTAGCTCGCTATTCTAATATCTATATGCAATCTTCACACTGCCGTACTCTAACGGAACTATCAACTCTATGCTTTCTTCTACTCCATCTATCGTATAAAAATTACCACTACAGTCTGTTATTTGAAATAAGCATCTTCAACGATATTTTATATTACACGAAAATTAAATTAACGAGGTCATTCTATAGTCTAAGATGGCGGTAATCGGGCTCAGCAAAAGCCTCAAATACCCTACAATATGGTTAATTTCAGAACGGTGATTCCGAAAATCGATATTCAATGTCAATTTGGAATACAAAATGGTGGCCATCGGTTTTCAGAAAAGCGGCAAATACCCTAATAGGGTAGGGAACTACTTCGGCCTAATCGCTCATTTTGAGCCTATGGAGCAGAAAACTTCAAATAAATCCATGATTTCAGAGTTAACAAGGCAATTAGGCGTTTGGTACGCTACTTTAGTTAATAGGCTACCGAACGAAGTCAATGAGAACGCGTGATATGAAGGTTTGCACCTTGGGGAAAGACAGCTTTTGATCATGAGTAAAATCGGAGTTAATTTTGAGTAACTCTGAGTAACTCGCGTTGCTCAACATAAAATACACATAGCAACCGATACTGTCAAGCAAAGCAAAGCAACAACATTTTAAACGGTGCGCTTGCAATGCTTTACTGGGAGCATCTTTCAGCAATGAAAAGGCGATTGCACGTGTATGAAAGGAACTACAAACTGTCCCCTCAAAATCGATGGAAGAAGTCTATGGTGACCTTACGGAACAGTCAGAGCTGTCTTGCTTTACTGCCATGCCGATGACGTTCTATTACAGGGGGATTTTGTACAATCTCTAGGAGGGTTGCAGTCAATCGCAAAGAGAATTTATGACAGTCTCAGTAGAGATTCCGAACAAGCCTAGGGGGAATTTCAGTCAATCCCAGTTCGGTTTCCCAACAATATCAAAGGTAACTTCGGAAAATCCAAATAAGGAATATGAACTATCCCAGGGAGGATTCCGGACAATCACAGGAAGAATGTCACTCAATATTGAGGGGGATTCATGACTGTCCAGGGGGGATTCCATAAAATCCAGTCAATCCAAAGGTAGATTCTGGACAATCCCAGTATTAATAAATGGTATGTAATGGTTCCTACATCCTTTCGACGATCGCTCATTGACAAACTTCATATAAGTTTCAGAATAGAATCAACTATGAAGTTGGCCAGAACTAACCTATTTGGACCTGGGATGAACAATTAAATAAAAGACTGCACTGAACATTGCTCCTTTTGTGTTAAATAACGATCAACACAACAACACCAGACGATGCAAATTCAACCTTTTCCTGTTCAACCTTTTTCAACTCGTGTCTATTGATGTCTTTTTGCAGGAGTATCAGGTAAAACAACGAACGCTTCTGGAGAGAGTTAAGCCTAACACTGGCATTTTTCAGCTAAATATGCTGAGAGATTTAAACCCCTCTTCCATAATGAATGCTGGTAAATAAAATGTTGCTTATCAAGAAAGAGTTTCCTCATTTCAGGTAGTGCAACAAAATATGAAACCTCTTTGACCGATTTTGTGAGATTGAGTATTACTTTTCATGAGCTAAATTAATCTCCTGAAAACATTTGGCCAAATTCTTACTTCCTTAGTCTGAAATCACACCATCTAGTGTTTCCTACCCTGGCAATTTACCAGAATTATCATTTCCCGATTCCCAGAAAACTAGTTTGACTTCCGGAGAAGCAGTTTATTTGTACGAAAACCATGTTAAACATATTTTATATTAAAAATGGCCACACAACTTTTGGGGAAAATTGATAGAAATTTCCGGAGAAAGTTTGACGAATCTTTAGTGCGAAGTCAGGAAAGCTTCCTGGCGAAGAATCTTTCAAACGAAACCGGTAGACGCTTCTGACACAATCTGTGGGAAACTCCCGGGCGAAGTTAGAAGAGACTTCCATGCAAATTTAGGCAGCCTGATGAAACTTTCAGAATAATTCAGAAAAGTTTTCCGTAGGAAGTCCGGATGAAATGGGAAATAGTTTCCACTTCCAGCGGTAGGACTTTTGATTGTAATCTGATACTGTTGGAATGAAAATATGATGAAACTTCCGTTGGTGGAAGATTCTTCCAGGGCAAGTTTAAAAAAAAACTTCCAGGAGATGTTGGAAGAAACGTTCGTGCAAAGTCAGACGAAATCTCCCAGAGAAATCATAAGAACCCTTCCGAAGAAGCTGGTGGAAATCTTCCAGGGGAAGTTGGAAGAAACTTCCAGAAATTGTCGGAAAAATCTTCCAGGAGAAATCCTGACGAAGTTCATGTTTTAATAAATAACTACCGAAAATACTTCCCGATTTCCGGGAAGAGTCTTCAGCTATTTTAAGATTCCCGGGTAATTATAAATGGCTAGGATATGGAAACATTACACTTTAGCCATCCATCCTAGAAAGAAAAAGAGACCTAAACATCCCTGTGCTTGGACAAGAGCCATCTAACTTGGATCTTTTAATGAATGAAAACTAAATCTTGAATTCAAAACATTCTGTCAGACGGGGATTGTTTGAACATTCTTTGATGAAACATATTAGACTACTTTGTTTGTTTTTGAGTAAATATGAGTAACTCAAATATACTCACTGCAAATATATTAACTCTGAGTACAGTTGTCTTACCCCTATGTTTGCACCCATTGTTCCCAAAAACAAAAGAAGCGCTCCGACCGAATCAAATGTTATCTTCATTCGATAGGCCGAAGTGAATTCATTGGCGTTTCAATGCGCTAGGCCGAGTTAAGAATCCGTAGGCCGAGTTTGGCGTCAAGAAGCAGTGTTAGACTTTTGACAATATCTCAAAGATTGGTTTCTCTTTATCAAATCTAACGTCCGAAAGGTAAATAAGCTGCGCTAGATTAAGAAAGACTAAGTGCGGGTTGTGCTTAATAGGCCGGGAACAACGCATTGATGCCGAAATTCGATATCCAACACCATTTTGGAATCCAATATGGCGGCCATCGAGTTTCAGCAAAAGTGTCAAATACCCTACATTAGGGTTATTTTTAAACGGGGACGGCGTACACCCAACCGGGGGATGTAAGATTCACTTACAATTATGTGGGATTCATCATCAGAGGATATAAGTGGAGACCGCATGAACCGAGGATGCGATATACCTAGCTGCGGTCTAATGCAAGAAAATTAGAGACCGAAAAATGTAGAGTGTATTACCAGACCAACAATTGAAATGACCTTAACTCCATTTTGTAAACAAACCGAAGTCCATTTTGTAAACGAACCGAAGTCCGCAAAGGCAAACCAACATAATGAACAGGCAGGGGAAATTCTCCTCTACCCGATTGTGGTTTAGGTTTGCGAATGAAGGTTTCGGTTCACGAGAAAATGGCCTTACAAGGTTTGTTTACAATTACAATTTACCATTTCAATTGTCGGTCTTGATTAGTGAGGTAAATTAGTTATGTCGGAAAATATAGGAATCAGATTGCCGACTGGACTCGAACCACGAGCGTTGCGATCCTGTGCTTTTTCCACTGCTCTTTCCATGCTTCTGAATATGGATAGCCTAAAAACAAACATGAAGCGCTCATTTTCTCGCATACTCCACTTCGTATGCTTTTTCTGCTGGAGAGAATTGGAGGCAAGTGTGTGCGTCGTTCTACAATGTTCTACAATGTGCGTCGTTCTACAAGCTTACTGGTATAGTCGAAAGCGTAGATAGAACACGAAATAAAAAAGACAAAAAACCATTACATCGCCTGCATGGTCAATTTCTAATATTCGTTGCGATGTTCATGAACAGAGGATGATAGGAAACGGAACTAACATTCATTGTAATAGATTTTTGGTTTGCGTGTAGAAGCTGACAATCAACACTCGATGCCATTACCGTACAGAACGGGGACAACGCGTAGATGCTGCAAATCGATGTTTGACGTTTCACGAAAAGTGTCAAAAACCTTAAGATCTGGGTATTTTTGAAACGGGAACGATGCGTGGATGCCGAAAATCGATATGCGACACCATTTGTAGGGTATTTGACACTTCTGCAGAAATTGGAAGCCACAATCTTTAATTTCCGACCTCTATCTACCTAGATGTCACCTCGATTCCAAAAATACTCGGTTTAATCGGTATTTGACTGCATTTTACTCTTTTTATGAATAAGAATACCGGCAAACATTGGTTTCTGGCCGATAAAAGTTACTGGGATTTCAAAAATACCTACATTGATGGGTATTTGACATTTTTACTCAATTCGGAAGCCATTGTTTTGGATTTCAAAATGGCTATATCGATTTCCGGCTTCTAGACGTAACCTTGATTTAAAAAAAATATATACGGTATTTCATATAATTTCTCACTTTTCTTAAAACAGAAGCCGCCGCCATAGATTTCAAAATGACGTCGGATATCGATTTTCATTCTCTAGACATCATCTCGATTCCAAAAATTATCAGTATTTTGCACTTTTTCTTAAACTGGAAGCCATCATCTTGAATTAAAAAATAGTGTCGCATACCATTTTCCAATCTCTAGCCACCCTGATTGCAAAAATACCCCATATTGATGGGTATTTTTCAGTATTTTCCTCTTTTTTATTTAATCGGAAGCTGCCATATTTTATTTAAAAATGGTGTCATATATCGATTTTTATTCTCTAGGCGTCATACCGATTCCAAAAATACCCACATGCATGGATCGGTATCAGTATTTCCCAATTTTATTTAAAAAAAATCAACGATTTCCAGCCTCTAGACGTCAATCTGCTTCCAAAAATACCTATAAAGATGGGCATTTGACAGTATTTCCCACTTTTTTTTTTAAATCACAAGCCGCCATTTTGAATGAGGTCTGATATTAACGTTATTATCTAGACCTCATCCCGTTTCCAAAAATACAGATATCGATAAGTATTTGACCACTCATTTGTAAGAAAATGGTCCAATATTAGCGAAATTTCACATGTAAACTCCGAATACCAGACCAAATAGTGCAGCTCTAGTATTTGACAGTATTTATCACATTTTCTTGAACTGGAAGCCGCTATTTTGGATTTCAAAACGGTATCGGATATCGATTTCCGGCCTTTAGACTTAACCCGGATTAAAAAATACACATATTGATGGGTAAACAAACCACCCGTCAATGATAAATTTAACATCCACGTGCACATGCGCTTAAATGAGTGAACAATCAACCAAAGTCAGAAAATCTGCGCGAATGTGGATCGAACAGTTTTGCTTCAATGCGGAAGTAAGTTCATTTGACAATGAATTACGAAATGAACACGAGTCAAGCGAAAACAAACAGCATGAAAACTTGATGTTGGAGGGGATCTGCACGAAGAGATGACGGAATGACTTTCAGTTGAAAGTGATGGTTGACAGCTTCACTGTCGCTTGACGATTTTCGATTGAAAGTGGTTTTGTTGGGCCCTGCTACAAAGTACAAAGAACTGCCATGAGCCTCCATTATTCAAAATATTATATTTTTGAAAAATTGCAGCTCAGAAACGCCAATTTAATTAAAAGTAATTTTATTGCCTTTTTGATTTTGCCAGAAATTTGCTCTATTGGACCACTAGGCGTGTGACTGACGGTTAGTTTTTCATAACTCGTCATACCTCCTAAACGAGTAGACATTCTGCCGTGAAATAATCATCGGTGAAAGATATGAATTTTCAACACAGATCAACAAGAAATCAAACTAGGGGAAAAGACGGTTTCGGCATGCCAGACTATTTTCGGCAACCCAAATTGAAACACTATTTTCACTGGATTTTCTTACGAAAACACTTCGCTAAATGCATGCAAACGATTCTTTATGCTTTCAGCTTTAATTTGACTATATTTTTACCACTGAGAAAAAGCAATCTAGCAAGGTTTTCTTGAAATGAAACACACGCACTACAAATTGTAGCTGATTTCGAGTTGCCGATAATAGAACAGCAGATTTACATGCAGCTCAAATGGAACGGTTGCCGAAGAAAAACTGGTTGCCAACAATACTCTCTCTCACTAGAGAAGATTGGAGCTTTGTAAAAGCGTTTCAAAACAGTTTTTGACAATTCTTTCGACTGAACTTGTTAGAGCAGCTGGCAGCAAAAGATTGTAAACAAACCAATACTGCATATGTGTGCGTTTCTTAGAGAAAAAGGCTATAGAAAGAAGGTCGCTGCTTGGGTTGCCGAGAATACGTAAATTCCCCTATATAATATGTTCGTGGAAATATTAATTATATTGCAAAATAAAGGAATTTTATGAATCCTGATGAATGTGGGCGTCTTAGTGGAATACCTGTATAATGAGAGTATTAGTACAAGACACTGAAGAAGTCTGCACATTGTAGACGAAATACGCGTATCTGTCAAGGATAAGCAAATATAGGAGGTATTTTATGATATTCATTCCAATTTTCCTTCACAGAGGAAAAATTCGTTAAAAACATGTTTTGCGAGAGGCGAACCAGCCCAAGGCTGAAAGCCTCATTAATAAAGCTAAATAATAATAATGTTTTGCGATTTTATTGTTTTTAGGATTGGTAACTTTGAACTGACATTGAAAAAGTCATTTACTACTTAATTTCATGCAAATATTTTATTTGCAATGCATTTGTTCCCAATTTGTGGAGCCCAATTTGTGTCACCAATTTGCAATGAAATTATTTAATTTATAAAATTTATCAATATTCCCCGATTTGCATTCTAAAATAAAACCAACAAATTCAAGAATTGTTACTTCCCGAATTGAACTCCAAAAACTTCCACATCTTACCCCCTTCAAAAAAGTTCCCAATCTGCAGTCATAAATTCCAATCAAGCTCTCCTTTGGGACTGCACCGTTTAATCAGTTGTACCCGGTGAAAGCCGCGGCCTGTTCACCCGTTCGGAATACCAAATATACCAAACAATATCCCGGAAGAGTATCCCCTCTCTGCATTCCGTGCTATGCAACAACGCACCACCGTGTCCCCGTCGTCGTGGTCGTGAATCCAAAATTGCTCTTTCCGAACCCAAAAAATATAACTTCCCCATAAACGCACCTCGCCCGTTTCCACGGGAGAAACTCATCTCGAATGACAAAAACACGGCCGCCGACCGCCCGTTCATTTCCCAAAAGCAATGAGACTTTGCGCCTTCTTCCCTATATGGTGTTTGTACATAAACGGCATCGTGGTACACACAAAAACCAGTAAGGTTCCATCATAATTTTCATCATCCTTGTTTTAGTCTCAACCTCCCCCCCCCCCTTCTTTATAGCATCGGCGAAATAAAAACCAACAGAGACGATTTACCTGCTGCCTCCTTTGGGGATCTGCGTTATTATCGCCGTCCCATTATGCTGCGGACTCCCCGGGCAGCTGTTGCCATCGAGTGGGGTACTTCCGCTACCGGCACTGGCACCTGGCCCTCCTCCGCCGCCACTGCTGGCTAGGGTATGCTTCTGCAGGCCCGGATGAAGTCCTGTGGAAAAGGGAACAAGTTGTTGTAGTCGGGGTTGTATGTGGAGATTGGAAAATGTAGTAAAAATTTGCAACAACCAACAGTTGTTTGGCAATGAGCGGGGATGAGTGTTTGATACTTGTTTTTCTTTTATTTAGCCCTGTGTGGTTGTACAGCGGTTGGATTGTATGAGATACGAGGGAAAAAAAAATATTGTACCAATTATGGAGAACATATAAAAGTATGAATTCGGAATGGGAAATTAAACTTGCTCGGTGGTCATGAAGATTGCCTTCGGATTCGGTAGTAGGCAATTGGAAGGTATGTACTGTTGGTATTGAGGATAAAAACTTGACTGTGGATTGCTTATGCATTTCCTTAATTGAACATTATAATGAAGATAGATTTTTTTCCGTGATTTGTTTTCCGTCGATCCTGTTTTCCGTGCTGAGCACCAATGCTATCGACGCCAGGAAGGCAGCTCCCACACCTGGACCCTACCTATCGACCCATCAACTCATGAATTGGGGACCAGCGGGTTTATTTTCCTTCGGAAGGAAGACGTGATCGGAGATGTTATGCCTCAGAATATCCTGGCGGCGCTGACTGGGATTGAACCCAGGCTTGCCGGGGTGAGAGGTTATCACGCTTACCACTACACCACTGGCTCCGCTAATGAATATAGATGCATTTTATACAAATGCATTTTTACAGAGTTAGCACTTCGACTACAAAAAGAAGCCTAGTAGGGAAGAGAGCTACTTCAGCATAACCGCCTATTTCCGTAAAATTGAGTAGAAAACATCAAACATATCATTGATTTCGATGTGAACGAATCAATCATACGTTTGGTAGTGTAGTTTAGCTCCATAGATAGAATATTAAGCCTATAAGAACTATATTTTCTTCTGAAATACAAAAGAAGCTCTCTATTTTGCTGCTTGAATCCATATGTCGAAGTAAATCTAATAACGCTTCAATGAGTTTGGACAAAATATAAACTCATATAACATATTATAATTAATGGCGACAACACTCTGATGAGACAACGAATACCCACCCCAAGCTCCTCCTTTGATCCTATCCTTTGACAATGTACCCCTCTAACCTCGGGGAAGCCACGAGTATTCGGCCCAACTCCTACTCGACATAGAAATAATTTTGTTACAAACAATGAACAATAAATTATCGACTCCGTAAAGCTGCCACGATTGAGCCTTCCAAATAAACGAAATAAATAAAAAAAAAATCGAATTTGAATTCAAGAAGCAGTGTTAGATTTGGGGATTTTTTTTTATACGGGCAAAATAGGCCGAAGGATCTCATCATTTTATGAATTTTTGACCACAGGTAGAGTTTATGGTTATGTAAACAAAACAAAAAAAATAAAAATTCGATTAATACGGTGCTTAATTTTCCAGGAAAATGTTAATTGATGTTTTCGGATTTTCTCGGATTAATAATTAATGAACCAAGCATTGTAAAAAGCACGTTATACAGTAAAATTAAATTATCCCAGCAATCCATGAAAAAATATAATTTGAAAAATGTTTTCCACGATCATAACTCAAAACCGGTAAGAGAGACAACTATGAAATTTTCACCAGTGGAAGATAAGAAGAATTCAAGCATGGATTTTTTATTACCCTGACCAGTGTTGGGAACCCAAGATCACGCTTTATTTTCATAGACAATCCGAACGCAACCCGAAACTGCCGTCACTGCTGGCAGCAGTAGCTCCGTGTCCACCATCGGTGAAGAGTAAAAAGAGATAGCAAACTTTACTTTCTCTTTCTAAGAAAACTATGTGTAATGGAATCATTTTTGGGTCGAGTCAACTCTCAGCTTGATTTTTGCATGTTGTAAATTTCTCGAAAGATCAAAGGAGTTTGCAAAATCAATATCAAGCATTATATTTTGCTCCGATATCACGCGTGATGTTGAGAGCGTATGAGAGCGAAAAAATATCATTTGATTGATGATTTTGCCAACACTGACCCTAACATTGATTTTTCTCCATCATAAAAATTTTCGTGGAAATTTTTCATATATTGTTTTATGGATTGCTGAAATACAGCACCTCAAGCTTACTAACGAATTTGGTTCGGTAGTTGGGTCAAGTGACAAAGAGCTAACATTTTTCGAGGGGTTCGCACATCGTTCGTTGTGGTTGTGCAAATTGCACGAAAAGTAGATTCAACCACAGCGGATGGGAGTAAGTTTATTGAAGCTGGGGGTACCTTGTTGGTGAGTCTGGGACCCGATGTCCCTGCTCCGGCAAGGTGATCAGCAGACTCGTTACCTGGCCCTCCGCAGTGTCCGGGAGTCCATGTGTACACGGTGTTCGGTGGAGCGTACTTGATAATCGCCTGGATCCATGGGTGTTTTGGTGCTTCCGAGGTGATCGCTTGAACGACGTTGTGTGACTCGGTTAGTATAAGTATCGGTTTGTTGGCTGGCGTCGTAGCGGCACGGAAGATCGCTGCAGCCTCGGCCGAGAAAACCGAGCATTGTGGAGGAAGACTGCTGCTTTCAGCAATACCGTCTCCAAAAATCCCGATACCTACTCCGTTTATCGATCGGGAGCCATCGGTGTACCGATGTACGTAGTCGGCATAGTTGGACCCAAGTAACTCGGCGACCGATCTGCGCAAAATCATGGATGCATCCCCTGCTTTGAAGCGGTTCTTGATCCGATTGTCCAATTGGATTCGAGAAGAGTGCCAACTTTTCCCTCCATGCCAATGGACTTTGGCCACTGGGGGGAGGTCGATGTCGGCGGCCGTGCGGAGGACTCTGTTCCCCTCGTCGAGGAGAAAGATCCTATTGTTTCCGGAGGTCTTGGCGGAAAAGGCGGTGGCTTTTGTGGCAATATTTGCGTTTAAGCAGAACCGGACAGGAAGAAGACCCGCTTCGATGCATGTGGCGTCTGCTGGAGTGGATGGCAGGAGACCAGATATGATGCGGATGTAGCTATTGTAGAATCCATGCTGAGTAATTAACATTTAAAAAGGGTGTTTTTTGTAAAAAAAAATCGTTTATTTCACGTGATATTCAAACGATATAAATCGGGGGGTGGGTACAGGTCACGAATAACCCAAGAGCGTGCAAGGGACTATAATAATAAAAAAATAAAAAATAGACATGAATCAATTTCATTCGAAAAAAAAATGCATTTTAACAATTTCTAAAAGTTACTTCAGTTTGACTGTTCACGCCGAACGTGAACCATATTTTGTTTATAATATAAAAAATCTTGAAAATACTGTTCATTAAATAATTACGCGCAATTAATGCATATGATATAAGAAATTCAATTGCTGGCAAATGTTATCTGTTTAGAACGATTGGGTCATACAAGCCCACCTACGATTGGCTTTGTAATGAAAGGTAATAGATTTACGCATACGTTCTAGAGCTATTATGGTGATACATTCTACCTGACGTTACAACGATTTATGCCTGTGTTTTAAGAGTTTTCGTACTGTAACTGAAAAAAAAAATAAAAGTAACTCTTAAATATTACTGCAGATTTAGAAAGTGCATTCAATTTCCTTTAAGATTTGATCATGAGTCTATAATTTGAGTAGCTAAAAATGTTTTGATGAGTAGTTGTTGAGTAATGTAGTTGAGAAGTGCAAAACGTAGTGACATCATGCAACATAGTCGTGCACCAAATCATTTTGAGGTACTTAAGTGATCAATTCTTATAACAAGTTTAATCACTTTTCAAATCTGCAATTATATTTAGTGGATAGATTTTTTTTTGTTACACACAGCATGAAAGCTGTAAAAAAAAATCAAATAAAAACGTGAATACATCCATGTACAATGTGTTCTATGGAGTAACATGAAGGCGTTTTCCGAGATAGTTTTAATTTATCGGTAAACTTTCAACTTCTACTGATTGGATTTTCATGCAAATATCAAGTGAAAAAATCTTGAACTGATCTGTCTATCATCCGATAATTCTTTTCTATATGAAGAACTTTGCTGAAGCCAGCAACCTTCTATCTAGACGGTCTGTCAAGTTAAATCAGCAAATTAGAAGACAAATGGCCACCTGTTGAGCAAACTATGAATTTAACTATCCACTATCCAATAGCTTATGGCATATCTGAATAACTCTGCCAATAATAGTAACCTTCTACTGTGTCGCCAGCACTTAATTAAAGTTCGTAAGTCTGACTTCCTACTTTCTAACTTATTTCCGAGTTTAAAAAAAATTCTGACTTTAATGTTGTTGTTGTTTTTATTGTTCGTACTTTGACAGCTCTTTTGCTATACTACCAGTCGCATCGGCAGTAACTACATAAGCGACATACAAATACTTTTTATCTAAATGCACACTATCTTATCGTGCTCAAGCTTTAGTCTAGTCAAATGGTATACTAGTGCCGTCTGGTAAGTGAATTCTGAACATCACCCAATAGGTCATGCCCATCTGATCAACTTTGCCAAAGGCTTCGTGATCGTGTGGTTAGAGCCGTCACCCGTAATGAGGGTTCGATTCCCGCTCTAGCCGTTGGAACTTTTTTCAACCTGGAAATTTCCCTACTGGTCTACTGTAAAGCCCTACAGTAAAAGTATGGACGTCTGTCAAAAGTTGTTCCAATCGAACCGTCAAAATGCACCACTTTGCTCGATTGGAACAGCTTTTTTCAGTCCATACTTTTACTATAGGGCTTTAGTCTACTGGTTGTTGAGTGTTGTCCTTTGCTTAGTGTTAAGTGTTCAGTCTGTACAACCTCTGGTTGAAGACGGTGTCAATTGTCATTATTTATAGCAACCTTCTATCTAGTCGAGCTGTCAAATTTTAACAAACAATTTAAAACCAAATTACACATGAGTGAATTGTGACCTGACCTGTTTGCCATCCAATATGTTTTGCCAATGTGAACAACTTTTCCGAAGACAGCAACCTTTTATCTACTCAACTATCATGTTGAAAGCAAGTCATTTGAAAACTAGCGCCAGCTAGTGAGTGAATTCTCATCTGAACTGTTCACTGTCCAATAATT